GCCTCTAACATCTCCTTTCCCATCTCCCACCCCTCCCCCCTCGACACAGTCTCCACCCACATAGTCATTTATTCCAGGGGGTCTTGACCTCTCAGATCCCACCCAAATAGTATATATAATTATTCTATTTCTTTGCACTTTAACCCATTATATATAAGTATACAGGCTTTATTGGAAGTCCCCTCATTAAACTGACCTGCTTTCACTTGATTTCATGTGTATTTAAAAACCTTGCCTACAAACAACTTAAACATATCTAAACAATATTCAAACACTACCTGCCTCCAACATCTCCTGTCCCATCTCCCACCCCTCCCCCCTCGACATAGTCATACCTAATCTCTCCCCCACATAATATATTATTCCAAGGGGTCTTGACCTCTCAGATCCCACCAAAAATAATTTACACATAGTATTTATACAGGCGTTGACTTGATTTCATATGTATTTACAACCTTGCCTACCAACCACTTAAACATATCTACAGTAAACTATATTCAAAAACTACCTGCCACTAACATCTCCTTTCCCTTCTCCCACCCCTCCCCCCTCCGGCACTGACCCACCTAGTCATTCCTAGTATTGCCTTTATGTGTTTTGCAGTCTATTCAGCAATTGGGTTTGATTGATGCTTATCTGTTCATCTCTTTTCACTTACCTGTTGGCTTGAGACAAGAACAAATTGAGCCATGTGGATCAGATGTTTCAACTTCATTCACCGACATGTTAATTTATTATTCCAGAGGGGGGGTACTGACATATACGTCAGGCCTCCATACAAACAAATTATTCCACTAGAAATTATTCCAAAAGTAATATTCTGATATGTAACCCCCCCCTGGAATAATAAATTAGTGTGCCCCCCATCGAATTGGACCGGTCCTTTCTGTGAGAAAAAAGGTCGGTTGGTCCATTCTGGGCGAAGAGATGGTTGAGGTTGGCCGAAAAAAAAAACTCCAGGAACGTTTCCCAAAAGAAACAGGAACGTTTCGTCGGAATGTTGTGTGAAACGGTGGAAGGGAACTTGGAAGTCCTCCTGACAGTGCGACCAGGCTGGAAGTTCTCTCAAGTCCCCTTGAAAGACTAAATCTCCTCCTCGAAGGGCGATGTCATACTTTATGGCCTTGTAGAGGGCTATGTCAGTGCCCCTGGAAGGGTTTTAGTAGCAGGTTGGATCTCTTCAGCTTCACTGAGGGCCCTCAACAAAGGCCCAACCTGGTACCTCTGGAATCCCGGCGCCTGGTAGAAGGCTTCAGGAAAGTGGTCCCCTCCTGTGTTCCCCTCCTCAATGTGGTGTATCTTGTTCTTGGGGTTCCATCTCAACTTAGTAAACCCAATAACAACATATAACAACCAACAAAGTGTTTGCAGGAGCCTCCCACTCAGGTGTCGAAGAACTCCTTTTTGTCAAAGCATTGGGATCGAACTGCACTCGCCCGCGGAAGCCGCCGGTCTTGTCCGGCGCTTTGAGTCCCAAAGGCCATCTGAAGGAGGTGATCCGAAGGGTAGCCGCCTGGATGTTCCATCCGCCGGGCGTTCCGCGGATGATGGTCGTTGATTAAAACCCCATGCTGATCATGTCGGATTCATGGGGCCCACAGGGTATGTCACATACGGCATGTCCGCCAAATGTGGTTAACGCTTTTTGGAACGCTAGTTTGACCCAAAGCCATGATAAAACTCTGGTTCACGGGGCAACTGAGGTGCGTTGCATGCTCAAGTCTCTGCAGAATTGATTCATATTGAATTGTATTTCATCATATTTTACCTCTATGGTGACTGACTCATCAAGAAGTTCTACAAATCCACACTCCGAAGAACAACAACATGGTGAATCCTCCCAGTGATGAGATCCTAAGTAGCAGATTGCCATGTTCAACCTTGTCCCATCAAAAAAGTGGACGGTCACCGCTGGGATGTTTGCACGCCAAAATCCATTTCGTCACAACATTTATCTGATGTGTGGTCATCAAAGCTGTGTCAAACAAGTTCTCCTCATGATGCGCTCAAACTTTTGATGCCCTGAACTAATCCAGCAACCTGATGCCAAATCGAGCAAGCACTCAAACATTGGTCAAACAACGGCTCCGCACTCACTATCCTCAATCAAAAACATGGCCGCGTCTTTCACATGGCTCCAGTATCGCGAAATGAAACCGGTCCAACTATCAAAAAACAAATCAACAAACCGAGGCACTCTGCAGCAGATCCAGCGTGCTGGCCCTCAGCAAAGATCGGGGCCAAAAGGTAGCACGTCATTGATTTAGTTAATTTTGTTAGGATAAGGACAAGGACACTCATTGCTCCCTGATTGGAGGTCCTCGAGGCTGGAGGGAATAGACAGGTTTGTTCACACCAATTGTCCAAGGGGCTCATTGCGCAGGCCGCCCAACACCGCCAGCCTGGGGCGGAGCGGAGCAGAGCCGCAGGGAGAATCGACAGGGAAAGGCAGCCTGTGAGCCCTCCAATTCCTTCGACAATGGGACGTGTGAATAGAATTGGTCCTTCTCATTGGCAAACAAACCCATACACACTGTTAGTGCCATACTGCGACTGGTCTGGGAAGGTATCCAGTGCATTACGAGTTTTCGGGATGGACAAGGCCCTTCGGCGGTGTACTAGGCTGCGCGAGCAAATCGACGGCTGTCCATTGAGAGTGACAACGGACTCCTCTTGTGGTGTACGGATTGGCCCTGTGACCTCCATGGGCCCATGGCTCCGGAAAAGAAGGAACAGCATCAACATCTACTAGTCTACTAGATGCTTAAGTGAGGACTTTCAGGTAAACCTCCATGCAACCAAACTGAAGCTAGACATTACAACCCTCACGTGATCTGATCTCGGGCGCCACAGCCAGTTCCTATCATTTCCGAAGCTGCACTCCATGTTGTGGAGGGTGGTTCAAGGTATTGAAGACACCCCTAAGGGTCCATGGATTTCAATCTGAACCAGTCAGGGCTGCCAGTTGTGGGATTCACACCATCTGACTGGTTCAGCTGCTGACTGCGGTCACAGCCGCTCGGTAACAGCCGCTGGGCTGCCCTGCGGCTGGAGTGTGCCGTCGTGGAGAATCAGATCGGTGGCTTTCCCCGCCGTGAACCTGACGGTCCAACGGTCTCACGGCCGGTCACCGCTTTCACAAGCCGTGAAGCTGAGAGGATTCGCTCTTTCGCCTTTTGGATCCTTTTGGCAAGTCCTGGACCAGCTGTCCCCCTCTGCTCTCCATTCATCGAAGGATCTCTGGCAATTATCAAATGAAATAGATCTTTATACATTATACATCTCTTACAGTATCTTTTTTTGAGGTAGATGCTTCGATGAGATGTGTTCCTTTTGGACTGAGTTTGACAGCGGAACTGATCGCAGTGAAGTGAACCCCAAATACAAAAGATCATAGAATACAGCATCTCAAAATACTGGAAGTCTTCAGTGCTCAGACTTGAAACGGTTACCCTTCCCCATATATATAGATATATTCCCAGCAGCTGCAGAAATCTAACTTCTTGACAACATCCCCACTGAAGACCAGCTGCTGTGTTTTTGTCTCAGGTGCTGCAGGTCTTTTTGTCCCGTGAGACCGCTCAGAGCCGTCGACGCTTCACCGGCATCGACGCTTCAGGCGAGGGGGCATCTGGGAAAAGCTGCAGCACAGTCTTTGTCAAGCGGCCCTCCCTCAGCTGAGCCTCAACTGAAGAAAGGCTGTCGTGGGGAAGAGTGTCTTGAAGTAAAGAGATCCCCCAGCCAGGACCACTAGCAAAATGGGTTCCCCAAGCAGCAGCCTGCACTCAAAAGGACAGGCATAGAACAATGTACAACAAACACGTACAACAGGCATTCAGCCTTGGGGGGAACATTCAGCTGCAATTCAAGTTCAAAGAAGGTTTGACCAGTGCATGTCAGAGCTGAAGCAGTTCATGTCTCCGACTGTCAGAGAAGTGAAGTTTCTACATTCTACAGTTTTACAACGTTTCACGGTGTCATCTTCAAGATTCTTCAACTTACAGTAGACACAGAAAGTTCCTCGCCCACTGCAGTTTCTGAGGATCTTGAATCTCCTTTCTGGGCCTTTGGGAGGGACCCTGGAAACGGCAAAATCATCATTGCCAAGCAGCCTGCACAGCAGCAGATTCTGCTCCAAATCGTCTTGCAGCCGTCTTCAGATTCTCCAAGCCCTGCAATGCAACACAAGCTGGTCAATTCCACCCAACTAAACCCAAACAGACTGGCTGACACAAGGAAAGCCAGTGACGAGAGCCATTGGTGGAGTCCAAAAGACGGCGTTCATTATCCAATTGTACCAAGTTCTCAATTCGAAGAAAAGGCAAACCAGGCCAAACGACCTACAGCATGCAAGAGATCAAAGCTCACTATTGTTCCACAATTTCAAGATTGACGTGTTAAAAATAAACAAAACACATAAAAACACTATACTGTACATGTGTACCTGACAACTCTGTATTCTACTATACCTGAACATTGAGGCCTTGCTCTTCCTGGACGGCTTGGTTCCCAGCTTCATGGTTTGTCTGCCAACCTAGTCGACATGTTCACACCAACATGCGCACCTTCAGGACAGAATGTTCTGCGATCGCCACAAAGCTCTCATCGGTGATCATCCCTTGGAGCAAGTCTGCGAGGATTGTGACCACAACTTCCACTTGCCAACGATGAGCAACGTCCAACGCTTGCAAAACCATCTGGTAGTCAGGGTCCAACTTGGTTGAGCATGTGTACAAAAGCCTGAGTGAAGAACGCTTCAGTCGATCTACAAATACTTCAAACACCTTAAACTACTATATGAACACGAGGCAACAGCAAAATCAGAATGTGAAGATTTAGTGCTTTGTCCGAGTAGCTCCAGAAAGAGCGACACGCTATTACTTGAAGCGTCTTTGACCTCAATGAGACACTTTTGTCCTTCTTTCATCGGGCTTGACAACATTGCAGCCACCACTGGTGATGCTTGAGCGAGCACGTGACTGTGAGCGGTTACTTCTCCATCAGCTGTATTGAAGGTCAAGTCCTGCGAGGATGTGTCCATCAAACATCGCTCCCATAAATCTACAATGCCTTGGCGGATGGAAATCCTTGCCTGAGGCAATGCCTCACTTTGGGCTGTGAAGCATCTCAAAACCTTGGTTAGATAAGCTTGCACTCTGGACCAATCTTCCTTCCGCTGGCTAAGCAAACTTTTCCAGGCAGCGACATATGAAACTGCTGAGTGGCAAGCATAGGTGACCGTCACTATTGTAGCATCTTTGTTGTCGGCCTTCCACATCGAATGTCTGCAGCGGCTATTGTTGCACTTTTGCAAGAAACTTGCGCCCAAACTGAGGAGCCATTGAATGGTGTCAATCGCCTCCTCGTCTCCCTTTCGGAGGCCCTGGGTTATTGAATGCACAATCATAGTGACCCCAAGGCTTGGATGCAAAGCCACCAAATCAATCCGTTCCGGACGAAGCCTTTTCACTTCGCCAAACTCCCTAGTATCAAGCAAAGCCCACAATAGCGCCGTTTGCTCCATGGCCATTGCTACACTTCCCTCACTGCAAAGCAAGGTACTAAATATATAATGAGGTATGAGACCCCCGACTCTGGCACGTACCCCTTTAGGGTGCATGAAAATGCATGGACCGCATTTGCATGTACTATAGTTTTACCGTAAGTGCTACCCCTTGTAGTTGCTGTTCACCATGTCGGAGCAAATGCATAAGGCCCAAGCGCAAGTAGACCCCATGTGGAGCATGGCGTTGACCAGCCAGCAGCGTGTAGGAATCTAAGCATCCAATCATATTCAACCATAGGTCGAATAGGGAAGGAAGATGAAGGAAGTCAGTGGGTTGGAAGTTGAAAGCTGAAAAGCCAATCAATGTTTTAATCAACAAGTTCCAGTTGCGGCCGCTTACCACTAGTGAAAAGCTGAAAACAATGGATCCAACACTCAATTAACATCTTCACCCTCCCCCAGGTGAGCAGTTCGCAATAGGGCCAAGGGATTGTCAAAGCTTGCCAACCGCATGGAATGACCTCCTTTTATACCTCTAGGCTGAAGAACTGGGTGTGGAGGAGTACTTCGGGGGAATAAACAGAGGAAACGTCTGGATCATCCTGGAACCCAAGCTCCGGAGCGCTGGCCAGTCTTGATGTGTGGATGACCCAGTGCCCACCAACTGTCCAATTGAATTGTCGCGTGTCAATCTAAAGACTCAGTACTGGAAAGAAACCAAGTCCCTGAGATCAAGACCCAAAAGAACATATTGGACCCGCCCTCAGGTGAAGTACAGGCTGCCCTGCACTTCATTTTTGAGGTGTTGCTTTCCATAAATGAAGAAGCCAGGTAACATCCAAAATGCATCGACTTCCGACCAAGTTCTTGCTGTGCAACTCTTCCTGCCTTGCTTCAAGGCTCATGGTGTCTTTTGTGGTTACTATTTGTTGAGATCTTTCTGGATGGCGCTGGCTGCCATTTTATTGGTCTTTAAATGTACATCAATCCGTTCAAGGCTCCTCTTTCTTGTTTTTCTTCAGACCCTGCGACCCAAATCCCCGCTCAGAACCGCGGCTGGAAGGCGCACCTTGAGGCGGAGGTCCAAGGCTCCAGGCCCAAGAGGCACTTGGAGGAGCTGAACCTTCGAGGAAAATGAAGAAGGCACGTCACTTGGAACGACCAGAAGGTGATCACATGGATGGAGAAGAAGCTCAGTTCCAGGGGTTTTGTTGAAGTTCGACAAGTTCCCAGGGTTGTAGAACTTCAGAAGGGCTTGAGAAGAAGCATGGCATGGGCTTTTCCTGTCCGGCAGGAGCTTCGGGGACATCTTCTTGGCACAGCAACGTTGCAGTGAGATCTCGATGTAATTACTCTAAAATGCCAGCCCCAGCCGTATGCCCAGGATCGCTGAATGTGTGGATCCACTGGGCAATAGACCCACGTCAAAATTCTTGGCTCAAGTTTAATTTCTAAGTCGGTTGACCCCAACATAGTCTATGCAGGGGTGTACTGTACCATGGTAGTTCATTTTTGGGCACTCTGAACCTCTCTGCCAAGGGATGCAAATGCACCCCTACAATGTTGCAGGATCGATTGTAACTCGAGGTGAAAGGTTGACTGTTTGGGCTCTGTTTGACCACGGCCAACTGCTGTGAACATACCTTTACAGGCTTCATTGACACGTTGTCAAGTTGGAGAGAATAGTGAAGTGCCGTTCTCTGGGGCTTATGCGCAACTTATCATCTGAGTATGTCTCCAAGTACAGGCATAATAGCGGGGCGAGCATATTGGTCAAAGTGTTCGAGCACAAGAGGTGAGGAGTGCAGGGTGCATCTCAGAAAAAAGCCTTTGCATTAGCCTAGAGTCTAGAGAATCAGCAACACACAGAACCAACCACTGGTAGAACATGCAAAGAGTACCACGTGCACCGCCGCACGTCACAGGTCGCTCTTCTTGGAAGCTGGCCATTCACAGGTCTTGCGGGAAGGCTCCTCCGAGAAACTGTCGGTGTTCTATTAAGGGAGGAATCAAATAAAAGGCGGATACTATATATATATATATATGCATTTGCACCTTTTTTTCAAAGATAAATCTAAATGTATAGAAGGTACAGTATATAAAACATATCATGTACCCTGCAAACCTTCAAAGTCTTGAAACGATGACTCATCTTATGACCAGCAACTGATGCTAGTGAATTTCGGAGAATGAATGACTATTTCATGATCAACATTGCATCGGTGCTCCTGCTGGTCCTCTAAGACAGACTGCACGGCGCTGAATGCAATGGATTCCTTGGCGTCGCGCTCGCATCGCTCGCCCGGAAGCGAAGGATGCGACGAGGTTGGAGGAGCAGAGGGACGGGTCCGTTGGGGAGGAGCAGCATGGCACGAGACTCGTATGTTCTCGTTCAATAATGAAGGCTAAATGGAGGGTGTGTGGAGAAAGGGGGTCAGCAAAAATCGCTTAGACGAAGTTAGTGCATCAAAATACCTTCCACGAAGTTCTGCGAAGGTTTCTGGGATTTCGTTGCAGTCAGTTCTCCTACTGGCCCACCATTCCACGAACTGTCCACGAATAGCCTTGGGTTCTACGAATGTCCCGCGCCTTCCACGATGTTAGTAGAACAGGTTTTTGCAAAACCCTTTCTGTGCACTACCCTTCCGTTTGCCTCTGAAATAAGATGCATTTTGTTGGAAGATAGGACATGATAAGACCAAGGTTCCATAAAAACAGATTGATCTGCACTCTTTTACTGGGATGCTGGGTGGTGCTTTTGTGGCGGGAAGATCCCATCCCAGAAACAAGTCAGGGATGGATGCGATAAGGCTCCATGGATCTTGATATATCTCGATCCTTCAAGACTTTGTATATAATCTCCACCGACTTGTATCATTCCGTGTGCAAACAACATGACTTGGTGGAATTGTCGAGCTCACCTGGGGCAGGTCTTTTGCAGGAGCCACCCTATTGAACCACGAAGAGACTTCGAGATATGCTCTCTTTTTTATAGGGGTCCAAGTAAACCACCTGTTGGGGATTGTGCCGCGTACTCTGAAACCCGAAAAAAAAAGCCGCCGCTTACTTCAGCGGCAAACACACGAACGTGCCTTCACGTCGTGGCCCAGATGCCGCACCACCGCCTGGTGCGGCAGCTGGAGAAGGCCCAATGGCCAAACAAGGAGTCCGTTGGACCTTCCTGATCGAACATGATCCAAAATCATCTGGATTTATAATATGCAGTGGTTTCAGAGTGTATAGATGGCGCAATCCCCAAAAGGTGGTTTGGATGGACCCCTATATAAAAGACATCTTTGGGTTTGTGCCATCTACTCTGACACCACTGTATCTGAATGTACGATATTTTTATCACATGAAGACATGACAACTCTTGAAAACTGTTCTGCCGGCAAACCAGTCGATAGCGTGTGACACGCGTTCACCTCAACTCCCTCATGTGTTGCCAGGGTGTTCGCCTCAGCGTAGGGCCCGAAATCGCCGCACCACAGTGGCCTGGCCGTCGACCCGTCCGTCCGCCGCGTCCGCCCAAAACACCCGTCCTGAGCGGCTTACTGGGATGTGCCACCCCAAACAACACCCTACATATCCCTACCAACCCAATTCATATCCGATATCCCTACATCTCCCAAGATATCCCCCATTGTCCAACCCCCTCCATGATCTGCCGCGCCTGAGTTTTGGACCGCTGTGCTCCAGCAGCTCAGTCTCCACAGGCTTCAACCTGAAGCTCACTGAGTCAGGCCACTGGGATCTGAGGTGTTTCAAGTAACTCAGTCTGAGATGTCCTACCAATCCAGTTGCCAATCACAGAGGGAACATCCAAATACGATGCCTCAACCAAATGGTCTGACGTCGATTCATCCGATGTACCGTCAGGGATCATCCTGACACATATGTCAGGGATCGTGTCAAACATAATCGGATGATCCCTGACTGTACCTCATGACCTCCGCACGATTGGTGCGTTGGTCGTCACCTCCTCAGTGAGCTTCTCCCGGCTCCCATGGACATCCGAGAAACGACCCGCCACGAAGATGGACCAACCGCCGCCGGGTGTGGCGAAAGCTTTTTGGGTGCTCAACTGCCGCAGCTCTAGCGCCTTGAGGACATGACCAACCTAAACTTTTGCCCCAATTAAATCAACAGCTCTTGACTCACCATGATTTGGAGCTGTGATTCACCAGTTTTCTGCGTCGCCTGTTGCTCTTGAGAAGCCAAGCTCCCAGCTCCGCCATAAAGGCCTCCAACGGCTGCTTGTGACCTAGAGGCTCCGAGGCAGGCTGTCGAGCCGCTCGGTGGTGGTGTTTTGTGGGTACATCTGAAGCATTGCTGAAGCATGTCCAGAAAACCCACTGGTTCAATCCATGTGAAGCGATCCAAAATCATGACTCATATAAGCTCATATGATATGACTCCAACTGATGTTGCCAAGATGCAGCCTTTTGACCTTTAGCTTAGCTGCAATTCACAAAGAATTACAACAAGGAACCTCGATCTCGGTATCTGTGGGTCCTTTGCTTGCTCCTTTGACCGCAACCGCCGCACAAAAGCCCGTCCGGTCCCGAGGCTCCCCTGCCCCACTCTTCGGCATAGACGGCTTCACCCCGGCTGCAGCAAACCAAAAGGTTTGGGCTTTCGAGTTTCGAAGAAAGCCTGGGACGACAAAAGCTTTCGAAGGAGGGAAGGCGAGTGATCCGTGATCCGAGCACTGGCAGTGATGGCCAAAACAATGGACGGCAACATGGCCGTAGCCATCGAGGCCGTGTCTG